TCAGAGAGGAAGGTAGAGAGAGATAGAAACATAGAAACATCAATGATGAGAGAGAATCGTTGATCAGCTGCCTCCTGCACACTCCCTAGTGGGGATGGAGCTCGCAACTGGGGCAAGTGCCCCAACTGGGAATCGAACCTGCGACCTCCTGATTCCTAGGTCTATGCTCAACCACTGAGCCATACCGGCCGGGCAATAAAAATGTTTTTGTTTTTTTCTATTGTCTTTTTTTAAAATAATTTTTATTTCTTGAAGTATTACAAAGAGTATTACTATGTTTCCTTCCCCCCCCCTTGACACTCCCCCCAGCCCCCACCCCCCAGTGTCTTGTGTCCACCGGTTATTCCTATATGCATGTATATAAGTCCTTCGGTTGATCTCTTACCCCCCCCCCAAACCCTCCCCAGGCTTCCCACTGTAGTTTGACAGTCTGTTCAATGCTGCTCTGCCTCTGCATCTACGCCTGTTAATCAGTCTATACTGGTCCCCGTTATCTGTCCCAACCTCACTGGAGCCGTCCCAACCCCACCGGGGCCGTCTCGGCCTCACCGGGGCTGTCTCAACCTCACCGGGGCCGTCCCAAAAAATGTCTTTTTAAAATATATTTTATTGATTATTTTTACAGAGAGGAAGGGAGAGGGATAGAGAGTGAGAAACATCGGATGAGAGAGAAACATCGATCAGCTGCCTCCTGCACACTCCCTACTGGGTATGTGCCCGCAACCAAGGTACATGGCCTTGACTGGAATAGAACCTGGGACCCTTCAGTCCGCAGGCTGACGCTCTATCCACTGAGCCAAACTGGTTAGGACAATAAAAATGTTTTTAAAATAAAATAAACTAACATTCTTTTCTTCTGGTAAATTGTATTGAGGGTTTTTTTTTTTAACTGACATTTATTTATTTATTTGTTTATTTATTTCAGAGAGGAAGGGAGAGGGAAAGAGAGCTAGAAACATCACTGATGAGCCCTAGCTGTTTGGCTCAATGGATAGAGGTTCAATTCCAGTCAAGGGCACATGCCTGGGTTATGGACTCCATCCCCAGTAGGGGGCGTGCAGAGGCAGCCAATCAATGATTCTCTCACATCCTTGGTGTTTCTGTCTTTTCCCTTCCTCTCTCTAAAATCAATAAAAATATATTTTAAAAAAGAAAGAAACAGCAATGATGAGAATCATTGATGAGCCGCCTCCTGCACACACCCTTCTGGGGATGGAGCCTGCAACCCAGGCATGTGCTCTGACAGGGAATCCAAGGATGATCTCTTGGTTCATAGGTCAATGTTCAAACACTGAGCCACACCAGGTGGGCTAAACTGACTTCTTAAGGCAACACTTGGGAGTACTTGCTCCCACAAATAGGCATGTGCTATGGGAACATGAGGGTATCATACTTTTTAATCAAGACTGGCCTATAAAATCCAGGATGTGGGATCTCTGTGGCTATAGAAGCCCAGAGGAAGGAGGGAAAACCCACAGAAATTAGCTGGCCTGGGCCAGGCTGGGGATCAAATCACATACTCTACACAGCAACATGCTAAGGATTTCATTTCCAAGCCCAGATTTGAGTGGAAGGAGTGTGCTAATACTAGTTGAGCAAGTATCTACCATGTGACAGATCCCTTACACAGTTTCCACATTTAACAAAACACCGAAGCTCTTCCTTACAATTGCCTTATGAAGGAGGCCTTAGAAATGAAGAAATTTAGGTTCAAAGATTCAAAACGAACCTAAGGTCATTAAGGGATAAGGGATCAGCATTATGTCAGGTTCCAAAGTCCATGTTTCGTTCCCAGTCTTGCAGGGGCAAGGCGGGAAAGGGGCCAGGGAAAGAGGACAACCCTGGGATGTACACGCAGCCAGACTGGTGGGGCAGCCCATGGTTGCTGGGCTCTGGGCCGAGAGTCAACTGGGTGGGTGGGGGGGGGGCGGGGATGGGTGTCCAAGGTGCCTCCTGGCGTTCACCTGCCATAAGAGTAGAATGAGCCACCGGAGTTCACCAGAGCCTGCATCTCCAAACACGGGGCTCTGATCTGCTCCTGCTGACGCTGGTTGATGCGGGGACAGATGCCGTGGATGCTGGCAGAGGGAGGGGCGGATCCCGCTGCGGCCGGACCTCTGGGGGCTGTCACAACCCCAAACCTGCCCTGCCCTCCCCTCTGCCACTCGAGGGCAGCGGAACCAGTCCGCCCAAGCCCGCTGGTAGGTCCGCAGGGAGGAGGGCGGGGATTTCGCACGGTCAGGACTACAAGTCCCACAATGCTCCGGACAGCGGCGGCGGAGAAGGGGGTGGGGGTGCCTTCAGGTGTCGGCGGCCTCGGCGCCTCCCGCCCGGAAGTGGCCTAGGGTCCGCTATGGAGCCGGTGGAGCCGGGCGGTGAGTCCCCGAGCCGCGCCCGCGCCCTCCCCGCCTCCCCGAGCTCGCAGTCACCCGCGCTCCCCGCCCCGGAGTCGCCCGCGCCCGGGGGCTGGGGGCGGGGGACGATGGCATAGCTGGGGACGGGGAGGGCGAAGCCCCGGACCCCGAGCTGGACCTGGGGTCCCCCCGGGGGCCGGGCTTGGAGAGGCTTCCCGAGGAGGCGCGGAGTCGTGCCGCCAGGGTGGGGCCGGGTTGGGTGGGGGGTGGGACCCTGGGGAGGCTCCCGATGCCGAAGGGCGGAGTCTGACTTTTGGTGTTGGGAGCCCTGGGGAAGCCGTCCGCGTGGGTGGGTGGGGTTTGGGTAAATGGTAAGAGGGCGGCGGCATAGAGGCCCTTTTTCTTCCCCTTTGAACAAACTTTAGCCACGGAGCAGGAGCTAAGCTTTGGGGTTGATAAGCAGCTTTGGGTGAAACTGGTGAAGGAATAAATGTTGAGATGAAACAGATGGAAGAATAGGTAAGATTAGGGCGAAGTTGGTGGGGGATGAAGTTAGGGGAGAGGTTGCCCCGAAGGTCCAGGCACCTTGTCTCTGGATAGTGTTTGGGTGAATTTGGGAGCTGGTTAAACACCGAGAACTCAGGTTACAAAAGTTAGGATTTGGAATGTGGTGATGGGAAGGGGCACGTGAAGCAAGTTTGGGGTAACTGGGAGTCCAGATAGTCTACGCCCTGGGCTGGGGCTGGGGTGAGGGGACAGAGTGAGGCCGGTGGGAAAGTGGGGTGCGGGGGGGCCAGGAGCCTGTTGACGTTCGGAGAGCTGTTGGCCCCGGTGGGCCAGCCGCTCAACCCCTTATGGGTTCTTTGTGCCTCTCCAGCTCAGTAGCGCGGCGGGCAAGGCGGGTGCCATGGCCCTGATTGAAGGGGTGGGTGATGAGGTGACTGTCCTTTTCGCGGTGCTTGCCTGCCTGCTGGTGCTGGCTCTCGCCTGGGTCTCAACACACACATCGGAGAGCGGTGACCCACTAGCCCAGCCATCAGGGACCCCAACACCAGCGCAGCCCAGCGAAGCCATGGTGGTCACCGACAGTGCCAGAGGGGAGGCCCCGGGAGCCGAGACCCCCAGCCTGAGACACAGAGGTCAGGCTGCACACCCGGAGCCTGGCACAGGACTCCCAGCAACCACACCACCGCCAGACTCCCCCCAGGAGCCTCTCGTGCTTCGGCTGAAATTCCTCAACGATTCAGAGCAGGTGGCCAGGGCCTGGCCCCACGACACCATCGGCTCCCTGAAAAGGTAAGCTGGGGTGAGGAAGGGAACAAACGCCAAGGACTGGGTGGGAGTGAGGGGGTGGGAGTGATCCTAGACCTGGAAGGACCAGGAGACACTGGAGACTTCCCCCGCATCTCATAGATGAGGGGACCCAGATGCCCAAATCACACTGTCCTGTTCCCGGTGGAGGAGGGGACCCCCCTGGGCGCCATGACCTGGGTGGTGGGGGGTGGAGGCAGAGGTGAAGGGTGGGAGTATGATTCTGGGCCAGGGATGAGGATTGCTCTATTACCCAGGTCCCTCTCTCCTCAGGACCCAGTTCCCTGGCCGGGAGCAGCAGGTTCGACTCATCTACCAAGGACAGCTGCTGGGAGACGACACCCAGACCCTGGGCAGCCTTCACCTGCCTCCCAACTGCGTCCTCCACTGCCACGTGTCCGCACGGGCCGGCCCCCCACACCCGCCCTGCCCACCGGGGTCAGAGCCAGGCCCCTCCGGGCTGGAGATCGGCAGCCTGCTGCTCCCCCTGCTGCTCCTGCTGCTGCTGCTGCTCTGGTACTGCCAGATCCAGTACCGGCCCTTCTTCCCGCTGACCGCCACCCTGGGGCTGGCCGGCTTCACGCTGCTGCTCAGCTTCCTGGCCTTTGCCATGTACCGGCCGTAGTGCCTCCGCGGGCTCCCGGCCGCCTGGCTGGCCCCGCGGGACCTCGGTCCGCACCACGCCGGCGGGGCTGCTGTCTGCCCGGGCCCCGCTCTCTGGCCTGTCTCTTCCCGCCACCCTGGAGCCCAGCCCTGCGCCGCGGAGCACCCCAGCGGCAGGTGGAGGCCCCTCTCGGTGACCTCCATGGCTCCGAGCCACCTTCCGGGGCCGCTGGCTCTCAGCCCCCACTGACCGTGGGCTCCTCCGGGTCTGCCGGCTGCTGTCGCTGCCTTGGCCCTGGGCAGGGCGGGGCCGCACCCCTGGGCCCGGCCTAGGGTTCGGCCTGAAGACCCCGCCATCTCTAGTCCCTAGTCGCTCCTCGCGCTGATTTGGGACCCAAGGACCCTGGGGGTGGGAGGGCCGAGGGAGCTCCCTGGAACTTGTGCAGATTAAATGACTGTGAAGTTTTCACTCCCGGTGTGTGTCTGCGCGTGGGGGCCCGTGGGGCGGGGCCCTTGCCCACGGGAGGAACGGAGTGAGGGCACGGGCTGGGCCTCTGCTTGCCCAGCCCGCCCGGGCCGCCAGGAGCTGCCCTCTCCTCTCCGCGGCCCGGCGCTGGCCCCTGGCCACGCCCCCGATCCCTGGCCACGCCCCCGGCGCCGCATGCGCAGCTGCCCGGAAGCGGGGGGCGGGGCTGGCGGCGCCCGGTGCGCAGGGCCTGACGGGAGCCACGTCTCTGCTGGCCGAGGACTGGGCGGCGATTGGCGTCCCGGGGCTGCTGGGAAGATGGCGGGCTCGGTGGCCGGTCGATGAGGAGGCCGCGGGGGGAGCTCGGCTCCCGGGCCCCAAGACCGACCGAGGGAGCGACCTGCGCGGGGCCTGGGGAGTCATGTAGGGGCGGCCCCTGCGGGGCGGGCCGCGGGAGGGCTGCGGGAGTTGGTGTTGGCCACCGTGACCAGGTCTCTGGGGGGTCCCCGGCCTGGGTGGGTGTGGGGGCCCCCGACACCGCCGACTCCGCGCCTCTGCAAACCTGTGCACTCGGGCTCCACGGGCGTCCTCCGCGGTGGGCGCGGCGCGCGCGGTTCACAGGCGAGAAGGCTTAGGCAGGAGACGCAGCCGCTGGCCCAAGGTCACGCCGCTGGTAAGTGGGAGCACCCAGCGTGGAACCCAGGACCGTCCGGCGGCGGAGCCCGCGTGCCACCTTCTGCGCCGCCGCCGCCTCCTGCGGGCGGGGGAGGTGGTCTGGAAGGCCGGTCGCCGGGGCCGGCTGGGCTCCAGGCTGGGCGCAACCACTAACCGGATTCGTGACCCCGGGCTTGCCTTCCCCCCTCACCTCTCTGGGTCTGGGTTCTCCGCCTGTGCGATCGAGGTGACGCCAGCCCTGCCTGCGCCCCGGGGGCGTGTGCGGAGGACCGAGAAGATAATGCATGTGGATTGCTCTGTAAACGTCCCTGCGCCGGGCACACAAGGATTAGGATGGCTGTTCCCGGATGGAAGGAGGCGGAGGGGCGGGTGGGGAAGAGGACCAGGGCCGTCGCAGAGAAGGGTGAGCGGGAGTCTGCCTTGCTCTGACCCTAGACCCCTCTGAATGGGGAGTGAGGGGAGGAGTAGAGAGCAGGCTTTCCTCCCCTTCGGGGAAACCTCACCCCTTTTTCTGGGCCGCCCTCAGGGTCTCCGTCACCCAACTCCATGCTTCGAGTCCTGCTTGCTGCCCAGGCCTCTGCCGCTCAGCTGTCTGGCCTGCTGCTGCTCCCGCCGATACAGCCCTTCTGCCTGGGGCCCAGCAAGTGGGGGGACCGGCCTCCCGGAGGAGGCCCCCACGCAGGTCCCGCGCAGGGGCTGCAGCGGCTCCTGGAGCAGGCGAGGAGCCCTGGGGAGCTGGTGCGCTGGCTGGGCCAGAACCCCACCAAGGTGCGCGCCCACCACTACCCAGTGGCGCTGCGTCGTCTGGGCCAGCTCTTGGGGTCTCGGCCACGGCCCCCGCCCGTGGAGCAGACCTCACTGCAGGACTTGAGTCAGCTCATCATCCGAAACTGCCCCTCCTTTGATATTCACACCATCCACGTGTGTCTGCACCTTGCAGTCTTACTTGGTGAGGAGGCTGCCTGGGGGTGGGCGTTAATGAAAGAATAGAGAGGACCAGGAGAGGACCCACATCACTGACAGGATTCGCCTCTTGGGCCTCGCCAGAGCGGCCACACGCGGCCCACGGCTGCTCTCCCACAGGCGGCGGGAGTCCAGCAGCGTTTGCTGCTGCCTCACATCCCTGCTACCCCGTGCCCTAGGAGCCACCACACTCTGTCACCAATAGAACAAGATGAGAACGTGTTCGCCATCTTTATATAAAGCCTTCCCCATAAGCTGTTCTGCTCCCTTAGTTCACATGGAATTTCACATCTCCCCAGTGTTTCCACTGGCACTATAGCACACCTTCCAGCCAGGAAACAGATGAGAGAGGTTGGGATTCACTAACAACCCAGGACGGGAGCAAAGCAGCTCCGCTCCCAGGACCGCCTCCTCTGACCCTCTCCCTCTCAGGCTTCCCCTCAGATGCGCCCCTGGTGTGTGCCCTGGAGCGGGAGCGAAGGTTCCGCCTCCCCCTGAAGCCTCCTCCCCCTCTGCAACCTGTCCTTCGCGGTGGGCAAAGGTTGGAAGCTGCTCTGAGCTGCCCCCACTTTCTGCGGCATCCACAGCAGCACCTCATCCGAAGCTTGGCAGGTGCTGGAGGGGTTCAAAGGCAGGCTGGGGGTCAGGGGCCGAGGAAGAGGCAGGTGGTGGGGTCTGGGCTAAGGTGGACACTAGTCTGGAGGTCTGGCCTGAGGGTCCAGGGTGATAGGCTGTCCTTCACAGAGGCCAGGCCAGAGGAACTGACTCCCCACGTGATGGTGCGCCTGGCCCAGCACCTGGCCCGACACCGCTTGCGGGAGCCCCAGCTTCTGGAAGCCATTGCTCATTTCCTGGTGGTCCAGGAAGCCCAGCTCAGCAGCAAGGTGGGATTGCCTCCCGTGCTTCCCAGACACCGCCAGGCTCAGCCCCTGTCCAGCTTGATTGGCTGCGGTGTCCCACAGCGAACAACCCAGCCAGGCCCTGTCCCCAGGTTTCCATCTTTGCTCACAACCCCCAGCACGTGCAGTCCTGCAAGCACTCAGCGCCGTCCTCACTTCATTGACTCCACTCCTCTAGGCCTGCAGGGCCAGGCCCCATAGCAGTGTCTCCTCCACCTGTTTGGTGATTGACTGCATGGGGCTCAAGACACTGCTTATGCCACAAACTTCTGGTGTGTGTCCGGTAGAGGAATGGTGCTGCCTTTGCAGTGATGGTCTAAACGTGCAGATCAAGCCTCCCTGAGGCTCTCCTTGCCAAGGGTTTTGGAGAACGTTCCTTGCGGGGTGATGGCTGCTCTCCCTCTACAGGTGGTGCAGAAGCTGGTCCTGCCCTTTGGGCGGCTGAACTACTTTCCCCTGGAACAGCAGTTTATGCCCTGCCTTGAAAGGATCCTGGCTCGAGAAGCAGGGGCGGCCCCTCTGGCCACTGTCAACATCTTGATGTCACTGTGCCAGCTTCGGTGCCTGCCCTCCCGAGCCCTGCAGTTTGTCTTTTCCCCAGGTTTCATCAGCCACATCAGTGGTGCGCAGACAGGAAGGCTGGCCGGGCCCGGAGGGCTGGTGGGCAGGGTGGAGGGGGTGGGAGTCTGCAGCCCAGCAAACCTCAGTCCCCTTGCCTGTAGGCACCCCTCATGCCCCGATTGTGCGGCGCTACCTCTCCCTACTGGACACGGCTGTGGAGCTGGAGCTCCCAGGATACCAGGGTCCCCGCCTTCCCCGAAGACAGAAAGTGCCCATCTTCCCCCAGCCACTCATCACTGACCGTGCTCGCTGCAAGTACAGGTGGATGGGGCAGCTTGGGGAGGGGAAGGGACCAGCCCAGAAGAAGCAGGGTAGAAAGGCCAGAGAATTGGGACCTGTTTCGGCTGGTACTCTGAGCAGTCATAAATAAATGGGCCTTGAAGCAACAAAGGCATTTGCCTAGGATCACAGAGCTGGGGGAGGGGGTGGGGCGCGACCAGAGACTCCTGGGCCTTCCTGCTATCGGTGTTCCACTCCCCTCAGTCACAAGGATATAGTGGCCGAGGGGCTGCGCCAGTTGCTGGGGGAGGAGAAATACCGCCAAGACCTGACTGTGCCTCCAGGTTATTGCACAGGTGAGCTCCAGGTATGTGGGCAGGCAGCAGGCTGACATGGAGCTGTGGCTAAAAGCCACTGGCCCTTTCTCTTCTCCCACCTTTCAGACTTCCTGCTGTGTGTCAGCAGCTCTGGTGCTGTGCTTCCTGTGAGGACCCAGGACCCTTTCTTACCTTACCCTCCCAGGTCCTGTCCGCAGGGCCAGGCTGCCTCTCAGCCCACTACCCAAGACCCTGCCCAGAGGTAAGGGAAGAGGGCAGGAGGGCCTCCCCTGCCTTCACGGACAGCGACCCTGAGCCATGGCCGCTCTCTCTCCAGGGTGGTGCTGATGCTGCAGGAACGCTGGCATTTCTGCCGGGACAGCAGGGTGCTGCTGGGCTCCCGGGCCCTGCGGGAACGGCACCTGGGCCTGTTAGGCTACCAGCTTCTGCCGGTGAGCCTCCCCTGCACCGCCCCTGGTGACACTGTGTGTGCCCACTCCCTCACCCACAGGGCCTGTGGATAACCTGCTTGCTGCCTTTCCCCACAGCTACCCTTTGAGGAACTGGAGTCACAGAGAGGCCTGCACCAGCTCAAGAGCTACCTGAGACAGAAGCTGCAAGCCTTGGGCCTCCGCTGGGGTCCTGAAGGGGGGTGAGGGGATGCACATGGGGTTCACGATGGCTCCCCTATGGGGGGGTGGACAGTTTGCACTTTGGATCCCTCTGTTTTTGTTCATTAAAGTCCCTTCTTCATTGCACATCTTGTTTCTGGGACGGGGAGCAGACTGGGTCTTCCCCACTTCTTTTCCATCCATGCCCCCACCCCTCATACAGAGACAAAAGGCCAAGGATAGGTGGGGGCCGAAGCACTTTACTGCGGGGGGGAGGGGAGGAAGGGGACTTTAAATTAATCACTTAAATAAAAATGAGGAGGGAAGGGGATGGGAGAGCATCCCTGGCCCCTGTTCCCTCTGTCCATCGTCCGTCCCGGCAGCAGCTACACAGGCATGGGCATCTCATTGTACTCGTCCACACCCTCCCGCTCATCGAACACGGGCTCTGCCTCATTGGCGTCCAGCTGTAGGGGAGGATGGTGTCAGGAGGGGTGACCCCAACCAGGACCTTGGCAGGGACCAGAAAAGGGGCTTGGGGCAGGAGGGCAGGCAGCCTTACACATTTCATCTCTCGATCCGTGAAGATGCGGGTGAGCACCACCATGCGCAGAGGCACTGTGAGGATGAGGATGAAGGGGAAGGCCAGGGAGGCCGCTGTGGACATGACGGCCCAGAGCAGGGCCAGGCAGAGCAGCTGCAGGGCTGTGAACAGGTGCATCCGGAGGGTCCGGACCTGGGGGTGGGCAGGGTGGGATGAGACGGGTGAGCCCAGGCTTCTACCAGCCGAGGGCCCTGGTCCCTGCTGGGACATCTGCTTCTGCCACATCCAGAGGATGGCTGACCCTTTTCCTCTCCACAGGGGTGAAGACAGAAGTGCCTTCTTGGGTGCGCACCAGAGCCTGGTCTGCACAGACTGAATGGTGGCTAGCCAAAGTGGGCAGATGGGGGGCTGGAGGGTGACCCATGCAGCCCTCTGAGTGGGGTCTCACCTTCTTCACATAGGTGACATCTGGGTGGTGTTTGGGCGGCATGAGCAGCAGGTGCAGCCGCTCATAGAACTGGATCCCATTAAGGGAGGTAACTCCCATGTAGAGGAAAATCCCGAAGAGCACGGCCAGGGGTATCTGCCGGAGTAGGTCCCCGATGACCATGGAGAGGCCTGGGAGGAGGGGAGAAACAGTGGTCCCCAGGGTTCCACATCCTCAGTGCACCCGGGGCCCCTCCAGGACAGGCAGGGAAAGAGGTGAACATACCCACAAGCAGGGCAACTAGCAGCCCTGTCACCCGTTGCTCCTTGACCTCTTGGATCTTGGGCTTGTCCCCGGGAGCCACAGCCTTGCTCATGACGGTCAGTGCGTTGGCATGAGTGACAGAGCGGACGGTGGCAGCAGCCAACCAGGGCAGGCCGAAGACAGCACAGATGCCGCCCATGGCCACGATGAGCAGCAGGTCCAGGTGGAAGCCGGAGCCCTTCTGCAGCATGCGCTCCTTCTTGGAGATGATCAGCCTGAGTGGGACGGGCGATCACTGAACCTGGGGCCAGCTCAACAGGCAGGGTCTTTCCTGAGCCTCTGCTTTTGGAAGCTGGTGGTCCCCACCCATTCCGTCCAAGTGAGCGTTCCATCACGGAACTGAGCCCTTTCTGCATGCCCCCGGCCTCTAGGACAGCTCCAGCCTGGACGGGCCGTGCCAGCCCACAGCAGCTGGGTCTGCCATCTACAAAACCAACTCCCTCTACAAAACCAACTCCCTCTACAGAATCAGCTCCCTCTACAGAATCAGCTCCCTCTACAGAATCAGCTCCCTCTACAGAATCAGCTCCCTCTACAGAATCAGCTCCCTCTACAGAATCACCTCCATCTACAAAATCAACTCCATCTACAAAATCAACTCCAGCTACAAAATCAACTCCAGCTTGGCAGCCTGGGTTCCCCCACCCGTCAGCCCCAAGCCAGGGCTCTGGCCCATCCACACACCACCCCCCTGGCGAGGACCACGCACGTGGTGATTTGCGTCTCCATGAAGATGAGGATGAAGACCAGGATCGCGGGCAGCAGGCTGGCCACCATCATCCACACGGGGAAGGCACTGTTCACGCCCAGGGGGTTGATGACCCAGCCCCGCTTTTCCGGGGCCGTCACCGAGAATCCACTGGGCACGCTCAGCTTCTGCAGGACAGAGGTGGGGCTGGTGAGCTTGGTGCGAGAGCCTTGGGCGGCACAGGCAGGCTGAGCCCTGAGATGTGCCATGGAAAGGGCCCGTCTGCCCCTGAGGAGACGGCTCTGGGGTTGGGGACTGCAGGGCAACATCCAGAGCCCCGTGCCAGGCAGCACGTTCTCACTGTGCGCACTGCCTCACCTGGGTGTAGGTGTCCTCGATACTGTAATCCACAAGCACCATGATGAGGATCGCGATGGGCACCCCAAAGTCCCCAATCACCCGCCGTACCTGTGGGCAAGCGCCATGCTCAGACCAGAGGCTCCTGCCCCGATCCGGGCAGACCTGACTCCTCCTCACCCCCTCCGACCCCCGGCCCCCGCCTCCATCAGGCCTCCGGCCCACACACCCGGCCAGGGAAGAACCGGCTGTTCTTGAATTTTCGCAGGAAGAAGGCAATGAAGAAGGTGCCGGCCATGAGCACCAGCGACAGCAGGGCTGTGTTGGGCTGGCCCCGGGGCCTCTCCTGCCCAGAGGGCTGGGCCGAGCTCCCATTCCCTGGCCCCAGCGTGGCCCCTGCCCCAGTCCATGTGGTATTATCGCCGCTGTCCACTTCAGAGCTGTTGGAGACTGAACAGCCATGGAGGGGGTGTTCCTGGAAGATCTGGGGAGAGGACAAAGGGCTCCATCAGCAAGATTTCCGGGCTCAGCTATATGCTGAACAAGACAAGTGGGCAGGATGGCCAGCCTGCCCTCAGGAGCTTTCCTTGTTGATTCAGAAAATATCCCAGCCCTCGCCGGATGCTCAGTGGTTAGAGCATTGGCCCAAGGACTGAAGGATCTCGGTTTTTTTTTTTAATATTTCTTTATTAATTTCAGAGAGGAAGGGAGAGGGATAGAGAGTTAGAAACATCAATGATGAGAGAGAAACGGCGATCAGCTGCCTCCTGCACACCCCCTCCTGGGGATGTGCCCACAACTGAGGTACATGCCCTTGATCGGAATTGAACCTGGGACCCTTCAGTCCACAGGCCAACGCTCTATCCACTGAGCCAAACCAGTTAGGGCAGGATCTTGGGTTTGATTGGGTCAAGGGCATATACCTGGTTGTAGGCTCAATCCCCAGCCTCAGTAGGGGGCACGTGCGGGAGGCAACCAATAGATGTGTCTCTTTCACATCAACATTTCTTTCTCTGTCTCCCCTTCCCTGCCACTCTCTGAAAAATCAATGGAAAAATATCCTCGGGTGAGGATTAACAACAACAACAACAACAACAAAAACTATTAGCAAGAAAATAACTCAGAAGACCAGATGTGCGCACAGGAACCTGAGGCCTGGGAGGCTGCTCTAACTGGGAAGGAGCGGGAGTGTGGCTCCACCCAGGCCGGGAGGAGCAGGATGTGGAGCGCAGGACTGAGCCTGTCACAGACTCGGGTCTGAAGTGTGACTGTGACCGTCTGTCCTCTCAGGGGCTTTTTCCTGTCTGCATTTCTGGGTTGTTTGCCACTTTAACAAAAGTGATTACTTTGTTATTAACAATGTTTTTCAGATTGATCTCAAGCCGGGGTGTGTATTGATGACCTGGCAGGACTTGTGGGGAGGTAAGGGGAAAAACCAGCGCACACTCGGTGGGCCCGATGGACTGTGGCCGGGGATCTCCGAGCCAGCCTGGCCTCACACCCAGGAGAGAGAACAGAGAGGCACAGACAACCCCGGCTCCCTCCAGTCCCGAGGCCTCGCCCACCTTAACCAACTTGTAGAAGGTCTCGTAGATGAAGATGAGGGAGATGAGGAAGGCAAAGATCTCCTGGGTGAAACGGGAGACGAAACGCACCAGGAAGCTCCCCTCCAGGGCCACCATGAGCAGGGCCAGAAGCACCAGCCAGAAGCCGATCCACACGCGGCCCACAAGGTACTCCAGGTCGTTGCTCTTGCAGAACTGCGGGGCAGGGAGGGGATAGGCCCAGTCAGGTCCAGAGCCCGGGGCTAACTGGCTGGGCCTGTTCTGGAAAGAGGAGCACCCCCGTGGCCTGTGGGCCCTCACCGAGAAGAAGGCCTCCTCAAAGACCAGCAGGGGCCCCGAGAAGCCGATCACCAGCAGCGGCTGGGCGCCCAGCAGGCAGAAGATCACGCCCTGGATCGCGGTGGACATGATCAGCTCCGACACCCCGATCAGGTCCTGCGTCTTCTCTCCTGGGGCGGCAGGAACCTGCTCAGGGGCTGGCAGCCCAGCCCTGTGTGCTCCCCACCCCCACCGGAAGCCTCTCCTTACCCAGCAGGCCCCCGAAGGTGATGGCAGGAGACAGGGCTGCAAAGTAAATGAAGATGACCGCAGCCAGGCACTGGGGGTCGAGTGCATCCCGGAAGTCACTCAGGTAGTGGGGATAGCGGCGCCGCACATCCCGGATCAGCCCCCCGAAGGGACGGCCTGTCCGCCGAAGGGGATCATCTTCCACTGTGTCTGTCGCCTCTACCATCTGCAGGAGCGCTGCAACCCAGGCCTCCATCAGGGTGCCTGCCGCAGCCCCCGCCCGCCCCGCTCCCCTCCGCAAAGGCACAGACCACCCAACTCCTGCCCCGGGCAGCCCCAGCCTGCACTGGCCCGTACCCTTATCTTGGGCAGACTTGGGCTCCAGGCCAGCCCCCGGGGGCAGCAGCCGGCCCTGCTCCTCCCGCTTCTTGAGCATTTGGCGCTGGAAGTGAGCGACGGATCGCAGCAGCTCCTCGCCCTGCACTTCGGAGGGCGGCAGCACCACACTGCAGTCCAGGAAGGCGTTGATGGCAGTTAGCAGGTCCTCCCGTTCGTCTGCCAGGTAGGCTGCCTCGTGGAATTGCTGCCAATGCAGGACGGGGGCTGGTGAGGGCACCGGACAAGGGCCAGGGGCCTGGGGCAGGGCTGGGCTCTGGGCTGGGGCTGACCTTGTCGGACATGAGGGTGGAGATGGAGCGGCCGATCTCATGGTAGTCCATGTTGGCGCTGCTCGGG